AGGAGGTCACCCTGTCCAGGGGGGCAGGATGCACTCCCCACCGGGCACTCCCAGAGGCAGGGGCTGAGGCAGAGACTGCCCAGCAGACCCCGGGCCCAGGCCAGTCTTAGGCGCCTTGGGTTTGGCTTGGGGGTTGTAGAGGCTCCAGCTGGGCTCCCCCTGAAGTTGGAGGCAGAGGGTGGAGGACTGCCCTTCACTGTTTCAGCCACAGACAGAGCCAGGTGGGTCTCAGACTCTCTGAGTTTACTCTGAAGGGAGAGGCAGGGGGCACCCGGGGAGTTGGGGCGGGGGTTGGCCACCGCCTCCAGACGCCTGCAGAATTCCAGGGAGAGTCAAGCAGGCCACAAGCCCCTCCAGACCCCTGGTCCCCGATGCCCCCTGCTCCGTTGCTTATCCATCTGCATGGGGTGTGTGCGTGTATGCCTTAGCCGCCCCCGGAGTCTGAACCTTCTTCCTGGTTGCTCTTAGGAGTGTTTGCTGCAAGGGAGGCGGGTGCTACATTTTGGATTTGCTACAGATTGAATCTTAACCGATGAGATGTGATAGTCTTGTATTTCATTCACATCAGGCTCTCTCTTTTCTCCTCTATCACATCTATGGCCCCGGGGAAACATGTCCCAGGGATACGGGTCAGGGTAGGGATAGGGATAGGGGCCTTTCGCGGGCTTTGGGATATATGGAATCTCACCTCCTATCTCAGTTTCCCCACCTGGACACAGGGAGGCAAGAAGCCCTTTGAGCACCTGAATTCCAGCAGACAGGACGTGCCCTGGATACTGGCCGTGGGGAGGGGGCCGGTCTGCAGAGAGATGGACAGCCAGACCCTGTCCAGACTGAGCCACCCAGCCTCTCCTGGACCCCACGTGGTCCATTCTGACTCATAGGGACCCTGCACAGGGCCTCTGAGGCAGTGGGTCTTTGCGGGAGCGGCTGTGAGCAGCCCAGCGCCTGACCGGCTCCGGGGCTCCTTGGGTGGGTTCAAAGTCAGTGGGGCATACTGGCTGTTGGGGATCATTGCTGCCTGAGGCACCTTCTACAGGCAGGCCTCCAGCTGGCTACAACCACGAGTGCAGCCCCGGGAAGGGCCTGGCTTCCCCACCCCATGTCCAGCCTGCATCCTGGACCCATGCTTCCGGGGGGTACCTTCCGGATGCCCCCGCCGCCCCGTCCGTGTGTCTGCCCTGGAGGGGTCGTGGCTGCTGGATACCGAGTACCCCTGACCCTCAGCGTGGCAGAGCCGGCCAGGGTGGTGTGCACTGGTTCCTGTGCATTCCTATCTTGGAGCACTCGGAATGTGACTCTCTTCCCCCGGTTTTCCTGGAATGGGGAGGGCAGTTTCCTGTAAAAGTGAGGGCCTTCCAGGGGTATCAGGGAGTGTCTAACGAGGCTGGACAGGCCATGGGCAGGGGCATGATGCAGAGCATCCAGATCCTGGCCCTGCTCCCTGCTGGCTGGACCAGCCCACCATTCTGTGCCTCAGTTTCCCCACTGTGGATGGGCATGCTGTGATCGTGGAGAACAAGACTGGAGCACCCAGGAGGTGCCTGGGACCCCGGTATGTGCTCAGTCTGTGTGCCGCCCCCTCCTCGCAGGCTGGAGAAGGAGATCGAGGTGCTGGAGAATGGAGAGGGGGTGGTCCCCCTCACCAAGGAGAATGCAATGACTGCGGCCCCCAGCCCGGCCCGGGCCCCTGCCCCCAGCCCAGCCAAGGAGGAGCAGAAGGCAGAGGTGGTGCTGAACTCGAAGCAGGTACATGTCTGAGGGCGCTGGGGAGCCACAGCAGGATCTTGAGCAGGTGGGGACACTCTGCAGGTGCTGCCCAGCAGTAGGCTTGGACAGGGAGCTGGGCCAGCCCGTGAAGGGTAGGCAGAAGGGGAGAGGACGGGAGAGGGGAGACAGGTATTCTCTGGGCTCCTGTCCCCAGGACCCCTTCCGTGATGCCTTCCAAAGATGGGGATCCTGGTGGGTGGGAGAAGAGCTGGCCTCTGGTGCCACTAACCTCTGCCCTCCTTTCTTGCAGACTCCTGTGGGCACGCCCAAAGGTAAGGGTCCCCGAGGGAATGGCGGTGGTGCTGTGGGCAGGACCTCGGCGCCCTCTGGTGGCCAGACAGGGTGGTGGTGGTGGTGGTGATGGCAGCTGGCTTCTGTTGGGTCTGTTCTGACTCTCCGCGACCCCGATGTACAGCTGTGGTGTGTTCGAGCCCGTTGATGCCGCCACGGTGTCCGTCCATTTCGTCCGTCCGTCAAGGGCCTTGCTCTCTGTTGCTGGCCCTCCCCTTTACCAAGCACGATGTCCTTCTCCAGGGACTGGTCTCTCCTGAGCACACGTCCAAAGTGCGTGAGCCGTCTCACCATCCTCGCCTCCAAGGAGCACTCTGGCTACGTTTAATGCAAGAGTTACTTGCCCGTTGGGTAGTCCACGGTAGAGTCAGTACTCCACGCCAGCACCACGATTCAAATGCACGTGTTGTTTGGTCTGCCTTGCTCATTTCCCCGCTTTCAAATGCACGGTGGAACTCGCTGCCATCGAGTCCATGCTGACTCACAGTGACCCTGCGGGACAGGGTAGAACTGTCCCGGTGGGTGTCCAAGACCCTCACTCCTACAGGGGAGTAGAAAGCCCGTCTTTCTCCCTCGGAGCGGCTGGTGGTTTTGAACTGCTGACCTTGTGGATTGCAGTTCAGCGTGTCACCCCTGTGCTCCCAGGGCTCCTGGAAGGCGTGTGAGGTGATTGAAATGACGTGGTGTGGGTCAGGCTCACCTTAGTCCTCAGAGTGACCGCCTTGCCCTTCAATGCTTTAAAGAGGTCTCAGGCGGCAGCCTTGCCCAACAGAACCCCAAACCCCCTGGGTCTCCTGGCTGGTGCGTCCGTGAGTCTTGGTTGTGGATCCCAGCAACATGGGGTCCTGAATGCAGCGGCTTTTCTTCATGTATTGCGATGCCCTGTGGGGGGGTCCCCTTCCAACAGTGTTGCTGCTTTGTGCAGCTTTGATCCTCTTCAGCTGGGTTGTGTCCTCTGCCAACCTCAGGTTGCTCATAACCTTCTCCCCGCCTAATGCCACCCTCTTCTTCACACAAGGCAGCTTCTCTGAGGATTTGCTCAGCCTACAGACTGAACTAGTACGGTGAGAGGATACCAGCCTGACACCCACCTTTCCTGATTTCAAGCCATGCAGCATCCCCCTGCTCTGTTCACACAACTGCCTCTTGATCCACGTGCGAGTTCCGTACTAGCACAGTGGAGTGTTCCGGAATCCCCGTTCTCCTCAGGGCGGTCCACCGCTCCTTATGGTCCTCACAGCCGAGTGTCTTTGCACAGTCAGTGAAACGCGAGCCAGCATCGTCCTGGTCTTCTCTGCGTTGAGCCGAGATCCGTCTGACCTCAGCCATGGTGTCCCTGGGCCCACGTCCTTTCTGAATCCGGCCTGAATCTATGAAAGCTCCTTGTCAATGTTCTGCCACCACTGGTTGTGGGGGACACCAGCCCCCACAACTATACCACGGGTCCGATAGGTGCAATTGTGCGGTTAAGCTATATAAAGATCATAGTAAAGTCATAGAAGATAGGAGAGTGGAATAAAGGAGTCGGGGACACATTTCATGGTAGCATCCTCACCTCAGCTCTTCTTGGTGGTCCACGTGGAGGTAGGAGACAGGGCAGCAGAGAGCTCTGTGATTTATTTATTTATATATATTTGGGGGCATGCAAGCCCCCTGATCACAGATAACGACCTGTGTCATGGGGAGGGCTGTAACTTGGGCAGTACAAGCAATAGGAGGGCGATGATGTAGGAGTGTACACGCAATAGTAAAGGGAGGGAATCGGGGTGCATGTGTGGCAAGGTGGGCGGGCCCTAGACTCAATATAGTCCCCTACCCTTAGTCATCCTTGAGTGGTCCCGACCTCGCCTTTGGGCACTCCTTCAAGGGAACAATCACTATCCTTATCAGAAGGGAGTGGGCCCTACTTAGGGTGGGTCAGACTATGCAGTCTGATTGCTCTAGATGGCTGACAGCCCTGAGGGAGAATAACCTCTGACCTACTTCCGTTGACCTCCTAGTGTACAGTCATTGGACATGTGTAGCAAGCAGCGTCTTGGCTTTGGCTTCCATTTGGGGGAGACAACTTGAGAGAAATCTTTCTGTATCCCACAACCGTTGTTGGATGATCTTCAGCGAAATTTTACTTGCAGGTGGCGTCAGTGGTGCTGTTCTGTAGGTGGAGCAGTCTCTGGGGTCACCTCTCTTTGGGACGGGAACAAACAGGGATCTCTTCCAGGAATTTGGCCAAATCGCTGTCTCCCGACGCGCCTGGCACAGACGAGCGAGCGCTTCCGGCGCTTCCTCAGCTGGTGGGAACATTTCAGTGGTGTCCCATGAGTCCTGGAGCCGTGCTTTGGGCTCATGCTTCCTGTGCACTTTGGACGTCTTCCTTCAGCACCATCGGGTCTTGCTCCTGTGCCGCCTCCTGAGACGGTGGAGCACCGACTGGTCCTTTCTGGTGCAGTGACTCCGTGTATTCTTTCCGTCTTCTCTCGATGCTTCCTGCGCTGTGACATGCTTTGCCCATAAATACCGCCACTCGAGGCTTGAGTTTTTCCTTCAGCCCCTCCAGGCTGCGCTGGGCCCAGCATGCACCTCCTCTTGGTTTTCTGACTTCCAGTCCCTGCACATTTCACGGTCACATTTCCCTTTGTCTCCCCGAGCGGCCCTCTGGATGTTCTGTTCAGCTCCGTGACTTTGCCCTTTTTTCGCTGGGCTTTGGCCAACCTGTGAGTAAGAACAGGTTCCATTGTCTTCTGAGATCCACCTTGACCGCGCGCTCCTTTCCTGTCTGTTTCATGACCTGTTGCTCTCTTCACCAAGGACGGTCTCTTTTTTTTATTGGTGATCCAAGTGAGTTTTGTTTATAAAGGATAGAAGCAGTTTCAGGCATTCAGTAAACTGAACATAAGCCAGAGGCGGGAGGAGAGAGCGCGAGAGAGTACGGCCCTGCTGCACAGAACTGTGTAGGAGCCGCCTGGAGAGAGTCGACGGTCTCTATAAAATAACTTTTCCCTCCATATTTTATTGTGAGTATGTGTATCTAGTTCAATCACTTTATTGGGGGCTCATACAGCTCTTATCACAATCCATCCATCCATTGTGTCAAGCACATGCGTACATTTGTTGCCATCGTCATTCTCAAAACATTTTCTTAAGAAAAAACCAAAAACCACATTTTCTTTCTACTTGAGCCCTTGATATCAGCTCCTCATTTTTTCCCCTTCCTGCCTTCTCCCTCCCTCCCTCGTAAACCCTTGATACTTTATAAACTATTATTATTGTCACGTCTTACACTCACTGCTGTCTCCCTTCACCCACTTTTCTGTTGTCCGTCCCTCTGGGAGGGGGCTATAGGTAGATCATTGTGATCGGTTCCCCCTTTCTCCTCTCACCTTCCCCGTGACCCTCCTGGTATGGCTACTCTCAATATTGGTCCTGAGGGGTTTGTCTGTCCTGGACTCCCTGTGTTTCCAGCTCTTGTCTGTACCCATGAGAGGGCGGTCTGGATGTCCTGCCATAGCTCATCAGGCCTCTGTCGCTAGTGTCCAGTGCACCACATCTGTTCACAAAGTTCAGGCTGCAGGCACACAAGGCTGGACTCTGGTCCCCGGGACTCGTCTGAATTTCCCCGCCACCCCCCTCCGGCTTCAGCTGAGCTTACATCTGAGCAGGGGACGGTGTGTTCCCGATCGGCCCTGGCCTTGCTCTGATGGAGGTGACACCCCCGGGTCCCCCCCGTGTGGGCGGAGGCCTCAGATGGCACCTGTGGGGATCACAGGAACTAAGGCAAACATCAGGCCTCCACGCTTAGGCCACACGACCACCCACCCACCTCTTTCGAGTGTAGACAAGCCAGGGTGCTCCTCTGGGGATGAAGGGGTGCTGGCCCACGCCATGGTGTTTCTGGTCGCCCGGCTGCGCGTGGAGCTGGGCACCGGCTGCAGAAGAGGAAGAAGCAGCGCATTTGAACAATGGCGCTGGCGAAAGGGACTGAAGGTACCACGGCCGGCCGGAAGAGCAAGCCGATCCATCTCAGAGCGCTGGTGGCGCTCCTCAGAGGCAAGGACGGCTGGACTTCACCTCACGGTCCCTGGGCGAGTCGTCCGGTACGGCCAGTCCCTGGGGAAGGGCATTGTGCTTGGTACCGTAGAACACAAATGAACTCCACTGCCATGGAGGGGCCCAAGAGGACAGGGCAGCCCTGCCCCTGTGGGTTTCAGAGTCTGACTCTCTGTAGGAGTTGAGAGCCTCCTTTTTCTTCCACGGAGCAGCTGGTGGTTTCGAACTGTTGACCGTGCCACTAGCAGCTTGGCGCGTGCCCGCTACGCCGCAGGTGGTCCTTGGCCAAGCTGGTCAGCAGACTCAGAAGGCCTCCCAAAGAGACAGTGACTGGGTGGCTGCATCTGTGGGCTCTAACAGGGACCATGCAGGGCTGGGCGGCTCCACTCAGAGCGCAGGGGAGGCCCCTGAGAGCAGTAACGTGCCCGGTGGAGAGTGAGTTACCCCTGTTGCGTGTGAATAAGTCACAATAAGTGACAACGTTGCCCCTCACCATTCCCGGATAAAGGGGCCCTCCAGATGTGGAAACTGAGCAGGGGGAGCATGTCTCCTGCCGAGGTCCCAACTCCTGACCTTCGTCCTGAGCCCCTGATCTACCCTCCCTCCTGGCCTCAAACACCACCCCCCCAAAAAAAACTTAAAAGCGGGGCTGGGGGCTTCACAGCAGGGGGCTGTGAAGTTAAGCCCCAGCTTTAGAATGGGCCAGCGTAGCTTGCGGCTCAGGGATGCTGGTGGGGGCAGGAAACCTCGGGGTTCTGCCTCCGGCCAGGAGCTCAGATCTGCTGTCTTGGGGCTCAGGACACAGCGGGCAGAGAGTGGTCGGAGCCAGACAGAGCACCCCACGGATGACCTCACAACCCAGTGTACACCCCAAGCCTGATCCCGGTCACAAGGAGGCTGAGCGCATTTTTGAAAACAGAGCCCACAGACCCACAGTTCTGGCCCGTGCCACCACCCGACTTACAGCTGGGCGGAGGGGCGGAGGGGTCGGGCCCTCCCCTGGGTGGACGCGGCAGTGACGTCTCCATGGTGGAGACGTAGGATGCCAGGGCCCATATTTAAATGCCCACTGCATTTCCACCCAGCAGGGCCGGGGCTGGGCGGGCGTGGGCCGCGAGGGCCTGGCCCTGAGCTGTCACCCACGGCGAGTGCCCCCAGGCGGTTTGGGGTCCCACACGCACGAAGGGAGGGGGACCCCATGCAGCCTCTGTGTTGGGGCAGCCCCAGGCGGG